ATTTTTTTTTAATACATCAGATGATAAATTATATAACATGAAATAACACTTTTTTTATCTTAATCTCTATTTCTACTTCTCTTAAAATTCAAATTTAATATAACTAATTTAAAATTTTAAGTTCTTAATAACTTGAACTACCCTTTGAGAGCAAACTTTTCAGTTAGCATACCCTCCTTTATGCTATAAAGCATAATGTTTGCAAGTGCTTCCCATTGAACAACAACTGAGATGTATACTATCCTTCGAATTTTGATACAAAGAAAGAGATGTTTAGAATATGAGAAGGCTAAACCTTATTAGACAACTCACACTCAAACGTCAATATATACCAAGAAAAACTACTTTGGCAGGGACAAAGGAGGATTTAGTTTTAATATTGAAAGGGAATGGAGGACTATCATATCCTCCTACAGTTCATGCTCACACGTTTAAAAAGGGAAAAAATATAGAGACGATCTCATTTGAAACAACATTAATGTATAGGTTGAAGCATAAGAATTTTGTTACGTCCACTTCTAAGTGCAGTCTTTTAACTTCCAGATGGTAGCCTGCTTGAAGTCAAATTCTTCTCACGTGATAGTTATTGCTCTATCACAATTCATTGAGGTCTGAAGTCTCCTGAATTTTGCTAGTATGTCTTTAATTTATCAAGTAGATGTTAATTCTATAATAAGTCTAGTAGTTAAGGTCATACTCAAATTAGTATTATATTAAGGTTTTTTAATTTTTAATTTTTTAACGTCAACTTAAGGAAGTAATTAATATATTTTTAAATTGTTATCTTATATAAAAAATAAAGTTTGAATTTAATTTTAATAATTTACTAATTAAATTAAAATATGTAATATTGATGTTAAAAGAAAATCAATTTTTTTATTTTTTTAATATGAATTAATAACTAAAAAATTTATTAATTACATCTTTAATTTATATTTAAATTACACAAGTTAAAAAAAACTCTTATATTAATTCTCATTAATTTAATTTGCAAGTTCCCATCAAGACTGATTTCCTGACAAATTTAAAATTACAACTCAATGCAAATTCCCTTCGGCATCAGTTATAAGTTTGAAATTAAATAATTTTGTAAGAAAAAAAAAAGTTAGGTGACAATGAAATTGCCTGGGTTGATCACAGCTATTGAGTCCCACCAAAGGACGTTGGTCCTCTCTCTGTGTGTGGATTTTACACCGCACAAAATAATGGTTTCAATGATTGAATTTTATATTCAAACCAAGAAATGAGAAGAAAAAGAAAGAAAAGACTCTTCAAAATAGTTGATCTGATATCATGCAAACAATCTGGGACTTAGCAAAAGGATTTAATCTTTGTTGGAATTGTAGGGCCCTTCTTTACGTGTTTTGATGGTGTAGTGTGCTCTCATCACCCTCACACTCAACTTTTTTTTCTTTTCTTTTTTTAAAAATAAAGTTATGTTAATAGTTGATTAATTATATAAATTTATAGAAGATTCACATCATAATCAATAGTTATTATAAATTTATCTTAAAATTTAATTCTAATCATTATTATTCATTTTTAAAAAAATGTTAAATGTCAATTTTGATCTCTCAATTTAAAGTTTTACACAATTTTTATCTCTTAATTTTTTTTTGTACTTTTTTAATTCCTTAATTATGAAAAATACACATTTTTAATTCTTCCATTAAATTTATCTGAATATACATATTTTTAGTCATTCAACTTCTACTAGATACACATTTTAAAAGTTAAGGGATGAAAAATATGAAAATTTAGATAAATTTAACAGATTAACTAACAAAAGAGTAAAAATGTACATTTTTCATAGTTAAGTGATAAAAAAAATGTAAAAAAGAGTTGAGAGATGAAAATTGTGTAAAAATTTAAAGTTAAGGGACCAAAATTAACATTTAACCCAAAAAGAAACATACATTATTCAATAAACATACATTATTCAATAAATAAATGCACAGTAGCATGCATTTATATATGATTTTATTTTTAGTAATTTAATAATATATTGTGGTATAAAGCCAGTTTGGCAAAATTTAATAAGTATTTACTTTAGAAATATTATTTGTCCCATAACTTTGAAATTTTGTTAAAAAGATTCAAAAATTATCTTTTAAAATGGATTTTAAATAAATTTTGAAAGAACTTAAATGTGTAATTTTTTATTATTTAAAATATATTTAAAAAGCTAATGTTAAGTATTTTTCTCTAGCACAATTTTCAACTTGTGAAAAAAAAACTTTTAAAATAAGTACATTTTAAACTCAGCTAAACAATCTCATATTTTATCAATGATTTGTTGGTCTGAGTGAAAAAAGTTTGGTTCCTCTTAAAAAAGATTTTGAATTTGAGTCTTGTGAATAGATAAACAGGCATTTGAAGAGCTTTCTCTCTAATGAAGTCTGATATGACTCGATTTTGAATTAATCAAAATTCAATGTAATTATCAAATACTAAAAAGTTAATACCAAAATAAACAATCTCATATTTTAAGGTGGCGTACACCTAAGAGTCCGTATTTGTTTTTGAAGAATAGTCGGTATGGATTTATTGATCCATCAGAAACGGATAAGAAAGAAAATAAAACATATGGAAAACATGTGTTTTTTTTTCTTTTGGGAAGAAGGAGACAACATATAATAGCAATTGAAACCAGTACGTAAGTTCTGAGGAATACATTCCCGAGAGCATTAGAGTGCAAAATAGAACCAAGTTCAGTAGGACAATAATTAAGTACTACTAAATGGTTAGCACACTTGGCGCCTTCGTAGCTAAATAGGCTGTTGCAGCGTATGGAAAACATGTTAAAATAATAATAATAATGCTGCTGCTTAGGAAAAAAAATAAAAATAAAAGAGAGTTATCTTAGAGTTAATTAGTTTTTATTGCATAATATATCATTTAAAATAAATATATATTTCAAGTTATTAGTTTTTGAGGAAGCAGTCTAGACTGAAAAAAAAAAATTGTAAGTCTATTCTTGGTGAAAATTATGTTTTTGCACTCTTATTATTAGGATGTCATTAATTGTATTTTAAGAATTTCCTACTCTAGAAGTAAAATGATTAAAATGCTTTCTTAATCATATCATTTTATTAACGTAATAAATAAATTGGAATAGCTAGGTTAATACAAGTTAATAAAGTTTTGACCTAGTGAATAGGGTGAAGATTCTACTAAATTTAATTATTTATATATTTTTTTTATTAATTTTAATTAATATTTAATATATTTACAATATTTAAAA